GAGAGAGGGAGGGTGGGATGAGAATGAGAACAAGAGAATTGTGGTTGTGAAGGGAGAACACATGAGCATGTATTGGGGAGATGAAAAAGGGAAAAGAGGAGTTAGAAAAACTAAGAATGCCAAGGCACAGCACTGAGTGCCACCACCACCACCCCCCCCACCACCAAGAAAATTCTCAGCAATCAAAGGCACTTAGTCTGTGGAAGACAGGGATGGAGGTGTGGGGAGAAGTCAAGAGAAGGGTTGAAAGTCAGTACAGAGAGAACTTGGACCCCTACACTGTCTTCTCCATCCCATCTATCCAGACAACTGTCCCTCTCTCCCTCTTCCCCTGCAGGGATTCCAGCTTCTCCATATCCAGATGGCCAGGCTCAGAGGAAGTGGGCATGCACAGAGACAAGGGTTTAAGCACAAGTCTCTGCACTGAAAAAATATAATTCCTGCTTCTCTTTGCCTTGTAACCCTGTAGATTTTTGTTACAATCCTATACTATCACTTGACTTTTAAAATTTTTTATTTTTATTCTTTTAATAAAAACCGTACACATACATAACATATACAGTTTGTTTTTGTTTTGAGAAGAGGAAAAATACTTTCTGTAGAGGGAAGGATAGTGTGAAGGTACTGATAGGTGCCTTCAGGGAATGGAAATGAGGTAGATGAACATAGGCAAGCGGAGGAGACTGGGAGATGGGCTTGGAGAGAAAACAGGCCAGATGCTGTACACAGATGCTGTGTACCTCGTGCACATCATCAGAGTTTGGGTTTTCTTGAAATGCAGCCATGAAAGCATTTTAAGCCATGAGTAACATGATCTTATTTAGGTTTGAAGACTTATCTTGGTGCATAAAGAGTAGATTGTCACATATGTAGTTGGGCCTTCTCATGAACAATTATCTCAGTACTTTAGAGCAGAAAGGACCTTCAAGATCATTTAGTTCAACCCTTCCTTTAAATGATAAGTAAACTAAGACATAGAAAATTTATGATTTTTCCCAAGGTCATATAGCTAATAATTGTGTGAGGATTTTAAACTAGGAGTAGAAAGGTGATAAATTAGACTTTTAAGGAAATCTTTCTACTCTCTATTTCCTTTGGCTAGAAGTGATGTCTCCCTTTTCTGAACCTTCATCTCACCTTTATTTCTCTCTCCTATGGTGCTTACTCATTTATTACCTTGATCATAGTTCTTTGTATGCAAGTCTTGTCTTATCTCCTTTATGAGATTATAAAAGCAATCCCTGGAGAACAGGAAGTATGGTCTCTATCTAGTATGTCTTCACAGGGCTTTGTACATGGTAGGTGTTCGATCGATGTTTGTTAAATGGATGGATGGATGGATGGATGGATAAATGAATTCTCCATATGCTATAAATATTTACTGCTTGACTGTGGGCATGTGCATTTGACTTGCCTTGATTTACCATTCTACCCTACCTCCTTACTATGTTTTTATTCATGTGCTCTTATAAGAAAAATTTTGATAAGTAGTCATTTTTATTGTAGTCTATGAAGAGATCTAGAAAAATGTAATATTTTTAAATACGGCAATTCTTTTTCCCAAGATTATGGACAGAGAGACTTCTCCAAACTCTCTCCCCTTCCCCATCTTTTGCCTTCCATCCTCCCATCTTTCTTGATTTCCGCATCCATAAAAGAGACATGAAAACGTTTGCAACAGTCATAAGTCCAGTTACTGTTACAACTAAACAACCCACAAATTCTATCTATAAAATCAGTCAGATTGTTGAGGGCAGTAATTATTACATTTTTTGATTCATTGCATGTACATTTGGGATCCTGCATGAACATACTTAAGCACATTATGAGAATTTTTGCATATGATGAAGTGAAGTTATACATCATGTCTGGGCTCCCCAAGTGAAGAAAGGAACTTCAGGACAAACGCCCCTGATTATCTAAGATCTCCACTAAGGCAATCGGCACTCATAACACAAACATGACTCACAGTGTGTGGGATTTCAGTCAAATGTTCACAAACTTTGGTTTGAGGGCTGGGAAGGTCTGGAACAGATTCTAGGGTAGTACCTAATTCAGATGAGTACAGACTGTTTTGTTTGCAAAATGACACATGTCAGTGTTGTGAAATGGTGGAAACTGGTAGGAAAAGAGAAACTAGTGTCAAATCTGGAGAAGTCACCCTGCTGCCCCACCTCAGATATGTGGTGCTTTCTGCCCTGGGTTTCACCACTGCAGTGAAGCCACTGTCCTTAGCCTGCCCCAGCTGCCTCACCTATCAGTTATATTTTGCTATGAAATAAACCATCCCAAAAGTCATTGGTTTAAAGCCAAAGCATTTTATGATTTACTCATCATTCTGTAATCTGGGTGGAGCCCAGCAGAACAATTCTTCTGTTGGTCTTGGCTGAGTCACTCGTACAAATCTCATTATCTAAAGTCTCTGGTCTGGCTCCTCTCAGATAAGAGAGAATGACTTTACTCACTGCATCTCGCCTCAGCTGGGGTAGCAGGACAGCTTCCGCTCATAGAGCACCTCTTCTCCCCCAACGAAGCAGTTTCTCCAGCACAGTAGCCACATGTCATTACATCACTGTCCAGTGCTCCCGGTAACACAAAAGCAAAGTTCTCAGGCTTTATAAAGGCCTGTACCTAGAACAGTCACAATGTCACTTCTGCTTCCTTCTACTGATTACTGCAAATCACAGACCAGCTATGGCAGTTAGGGTGGAGTATTAATTGATTGGCTTTGAGATCTATCCAGGGGGTTGATAGAGCACATCTCTGGTTGTTTCTGGGTGGATCACAGAGGTGTGACTTTGGGGTCTATATTTAGTTTCTTATCACCTCCTCTTTGATACTGTTTCTCTGCTCTGCTTCTTAACTTCAGAGATCTAAGGGTCTTTGCTCCACCATGCCCCTTCACCATGATGTTCCAGCCTTGGACCCAGTCAACCATGGACTGAATTCCTCAGAACTATGAGTGGAGTTAAATCTTTCCTCCTTTAAGTTGTAGGTGTCAAGTATTATGTCTCAGCAATGAGAAAACTGAGCAATAAACTAACCCAGATCTAAGAAAAGAGAAATAAATTCTACGTCTTCATATAAGGAATGGCAAAGCATTTTGGCTCTGTTTAATCCAGCTCGCCTAGCCTCAAACATCTCCTGTGTCCTCTACAGATGCTTCCATATTACAGGAAAGCCACCACTCTAGGGTGCTACACCTGCTGCTTCCATTTCTCTGCCACTGCCAGACAACTTCTCTCCACTTACTTTTCTCTACCCATAGTTCAGTATCTGATTATTCATGGGCTCTGCTGCACCATGGTTTTGTTGCCATGTGGCTTCTACTGCTATGGTAGTAGTGTGCAAAGGGTCAACATAGCAGAATGAAGGGAGAGTTTCTTTCAAGGTTGGTGCTATCCTTACAAAGGCCTGCTTGTAAGGTTAGCCCTTGGCTGGTATCTGGGAAACTTGGATTTGGAGAGATATGTTAATCAATTGAAACAGAACAATAGGTTGCATATATGTGCAGAAAGAGATTTATTATAAAGAATAGGCTCATATCCTTATGAACCACTGATAGTGACTCCAAAATACTCAGGATTTACAGGCAGTCTCAAGACCCAGGAAAGGCAATATTGTAGTTTCAGTCTAATGGGTGGCAGGGAGAGACCAAGAAGAGCTGAATCCCAGTTCAAAGGCAATCCGGTTAAGAATCCCTTCTTGTTCAGGGAAGCCCCTATTTTTGTTCTATTCAGGCCATCACCTTACTAAATAATGCTCATTCACATTATGGAGAGGAATCTGCTTATTCAGGAATTGACTGATTTAAATGTTAATCTCATTTGATCCCCCATCCTCCAAGTTAACTCCTAAAATTGCCCATCACAAGATGATTTCCAACATTCCCAGAGCTGATGAGAATGCCTCATTGTGTCTAAACTGTCCAAGCATCATGGTTCATACTGAACACCTGCTTTTATCATTCCCCTGAGGATCCCCAGCAGAGAATTGTATTGTATGCTAGGTAGGTGGTACCTACATGGTCAGCCCTCAGCAAAAACTCTCAACATTGACTCTCCAAGAAGCTTCCTGGGTAACAACAATTCTTACCTGCTGTCATAACTCATCATCAGAGGAATTAAGCCCATCATGAATAATGCCTCTGGAAGGGGACTCTTGAAGTTTGTGCCTTGTTTCCTCTGGATTTTGCTCCATGTGCCTTTTTTCTGCTGATTTTGCTTTTGCAATGATAGATCTTAGTCATCATTACTTCTATATGTTGAGACCTGTGAGCCTTCCTACCAAATCATTGAACCTGGGGTTGTCTTGGGACTCCCTCCCTAACACAAGTAGAAAATGGAAAAATTATGTCATTAGCATAGGTCTTCTCCTAACTATTAATAAAATTAAAGCAAAAATGTCCTATTTCATATATTTGAAATTTTATATAAAGGTGGGGCATTGTTTTTATGAGTGTAGCACTATGTTGCATATCATAGTATGTGCTACATATCACATTCAAAAAGGCATACCAGGAACATGAATGAATGACCAAGGACTTCTAGAGGGATAAGATATTTGATTTTTGGCAGGGGAGTACTGGGGATTGAACTCATGACCTTGCCCTTGTGAGGCAGGCAAGTTGCCACTGAGCTAAACCCCAGCCCAAGATATTTGATTTTAAAAAAAGGAAAATGTAAGTAATGCAGCGCAATCATTGAATTGTGAACTGGAGGTAGATCTTAGAAGGTCTTGACTATCATTTTAGCACTTATTATCTAGGACTATTATACTTAAAGAGACATAACAGAGTCCTCAAAACCATAATGTTATTTGTGGGCAATATGAAATAAACACATATTCCCATATTAACTGAATATCACAATAAAAGAAAAGAATATAAGGGAGAGAACTTTATTTTTATTTTTTATTTTTTATTAATCTTTGTTTCAAACTTTATTCCCAGACTTCTTCATTAATTGCCTGCAAAGAATGAATTGTATGTAAACAAAAACTGAAAAGAGCTGCAGTGTCCAAGAGGCTTGGGCTTAAAAACATTAGAGATCTAGATTTTATCAGATTCATAAACAAAAACAATTTTAAAAAGCAGTAATAATATAAAATAGCAGCTCCCAGTAACTTCTTCCAAGTTGTATCTTCTTCAGAAGCTGACTCAATTCAGTTTGCCTCATTCTTAGAAGCCTCATCAAAATTCTCCACAAGATCTGGAACTTCATCATCATCCTCCTCTCCAGTAGCAAGTGGTGCTTTTCCATCCACAGACATGGGCAGAGCTTCAGCCAGTCTCCTTAAACTAGTCAGACTGTCTGCACTGAGCTGGTTCAAGATGCTGGGTAGCATTTCTGTCAGCTGTTTCATCTCAGCATGGCCTGTAATGGTGAAAGTGTTTGCTGCCAGGGATTCCTGAACTTTTGGGTTGTTGAAGTGGATCACAGTTCCTTGGTTTGTGAACATATTCACCTCTTCAATACCAGAGATATTGTTTACCCCTAACTTCTTTAATGAGAACTGAAGTTTTTTATTATCTGCTGTAGCTGTTCTATGAACCACCTTCTTCTTCCTGCGAGCAGTTGCTTTCCCACCAATGAGCACTTGTGCCTGCAATTTGGTGAGTTTTTCCTGGTTCATGATAGTTTCTTTCATCTTGTCGGAGTGGTTATGGGGCAGCGCAGGGGACTAGGGCTGGTGCTCAGGGAGCCTTGGGCAGACCAGCTCATATTAGGCGCACACACGCTGGGACTCAAGATGGCAGCTAAGGGGAGAGAACTTTAACAAAGAACATGATTTTAAGAAATAATAATTTTTGTTCTCCTGTAAATAAGTGAAAGACCATCATTATTTGATTTTTAGTAGCTGGAGAATCACTGCATTAGACAAGGGAGCAAAATGAATGATGAGAAGACAAATCTGGTTTAAACTTGCATGGGTAATACAATTAAACTATTGCATTCATGGATGGAAATAAACTTTTTTGTCTTTCAACTAATCGTCAAGTCATTTTAATGCCCAAATTACAAGTACAATTTGGAATCAGTGGTAATCTTTTCTTTAAATGTGGGCCTTGTGTGCAAATTTAGACAAGTTTCTTAACTTTCTGTGCCTCAATTTCCTAAAGTGTAAAAAGAGCTAGAAATAAGATCTATTGTATGTACTTCATATGAGAATTACGTGAGATTGTATATGGCACTCATACATGATTGGCAATCAATAAAGTGTTCTATTCTTTTGCTCTTTCTGTGAGGCTCTTAAAACTATTGGCCATGGAAAAAAATTACAGATATAATTTGAGAAGTTTGAGAACTATATTAATATTTTGGCTTTTGTCTAAATCAATGGAAGATAATCTAAAAAGAAATATTCTAGTTATATCTGCACTTGTGACTAAATTCAGAACAGGAGAATTAATAAAAAGCACATACCACTAAGTCTTAGTAAAGCACACACCAGGCTGGACCTATGAATTCATTATTTTAAGTCTTGGTGTTTTACATGTTCTTTTTTCTACGAGTATTATGTTCAAGTCTGCCAGTGAAGAGTTATTTTGCCACTTAAAATATGGAGGTGGAAATTCAGGGATTTGGTTGGTACTGCATTAGATAATGCTAGTCTTGTTTAAGAACAATATAATGAAAACACCACTGATTTAATGACAGTCAAGTCACTTCCCTTGTGAGTCCTGGCCATAAAACTGTAAACTTCTATCAGGCTCATCTCCCTGATCCTGCAGAGCTCCACTGTTCATGATCCAAGTGTAGAGCCAGGGATAAGTTCTAGGTGCTACAGCGGTGCATATGTGTAATTTCTATCTTTCTCCCAGGATAAAAAACTCTATGATGGAAGGAAGAATGTGCCTCTATCTCTATTTACCTTGAACTCGTGCAATGACTGACAACCATAGATACAAAATAAACATTTGTGGAAGGAAAAGGAAGGGAGGTAGGAGGGAAGGATCTAATATGTACTTGGCTATGAAGTCAGCACTTTAAAAAGACTTGTTTAGTGAATGGAGTAAGTCATATTTCCTGTTTTTCTCTTAGTCATATACTTTATAGGACAGAAAGAATATATCTCTGGTCACAAGAAAAGTCTCAAGGCAAATACACATTATTGAAAGCTATTAACATCATATTTGCTAAATTTTTATTGAGGACTTTCTATCTGTGAAGTATTATTTTAAGCACTTTATATGCATGAATTCATTCAACTGTCATAATACTGTAAAAGAATCCCCATTTAAAAGGTGAAGAAACTGAGGCTCAATGTGGCCTTCTATAGTTTGATAAATAGGTAATAGTGGAAGTGAGATTTGGATTGAAGCCTGTCTGACTTCACTACTCTGTGCATACCTCCAGAGGAGTTTGGGAGGAGCTTGAAGTGGGATCAATACTGGCATTAGCATAAACCCGGGGTGATGAGGTCTCCAGGAGACAGGTTAAATGGGGCACCCAGAGACAGCCTTCTAGGGCCCACTCCACTGCTACATGGCAGGTGATCTTCCAAGTGTGTATCTAGTTCTTCAGAACCAAAGAGTTTGTGTTAGAAATGAATGATCAAGAGCAGTAAGGCAAATATGTCCTTACTCAAGACCGAAACAAACACAAATCTGGCAAAACAAAGAACCTGTATCCCATGAATCAGGAAGATGGTAGGCACAAATGTTGTGAAAAAGGAGCATGGGACTTGCTGCTGGGATCTCAGAGAGCTGAATAAAGCTACTTTGGGTCATAAGATGACTGAGATAACATATTAAGAATTCAAGAAGGACCTTCCACACAAGGTATAACTCTATAGCTCTTTCTCCTTCACTCTCAATCCTATCCCTATAGTCATTCTCTCTTTCTCTCTCTCCCTCTCTGTCTCTCTCCTCCTCTTCCTCATTTCTATTTCTCTCTGTCCCTCTCATCCACATATACATAAAGGGACACAAACACCCCCTCCCACACACACATACACATGCATGCATGCACAGTACTACCACCAAAGTGTTTTTACATGCCCTAGGTTGCTGGCTCCTGCTCTTCATGCAAACATTTTTTGGAAAACAAGGTTAAAATGCACTGAACTGATAGTGGTTATGTTTCTGTCTCCTTCATCTTCAGAGCAAGAACATGTATTGCATTTCTTTTTTATCCCCCTCACAGCACCTATTACTAGATACCATATGCACTGCACATACTTGGCACTCAATAAATGCTTACTGAATGGCTGGCTTTTCCATCTTCCCCACCCTTTCCTTCCCACCCCTACAGCATTACTTTAAATATCTGCTGCAGAGCTGTGGGGTGAGGGTTTAAGATTCGTTTTGACAAATGATCCTTATGGGTGTTTAAAGCCAAAAGATTGAATATTTAAAGCAGAAATATGAGCTGTGACTTCATGGGTGTGCTGTGAAGAGCTGCATAAAGCTGTACAAATAGATAGCCTTTCAGACAGGACATAACAGACCCAGCTTTGTGCATTTGCAAATATATAGAGGAGAAGAGCTCCAACTTCACTTTGAACCCTACATTTGCTCTGAAAGTTTAAATGCAAGAGAGAAGGTCATTAAATCTTCTATTTAAAAGGAGATCTTACAAATACTTTTGGCTTTAAAAGCTTATGTCGTTGATTCATAATATAAGAGGTGACATTAAACCTATCCCTTGCCCCTTCACCACCACCACCTCCAGACAGGAAAATGTAGGCAAAAACAAGGCTGGACTCCATGGGAATGGTGGGAACAGATTGATTGCTATAAAAAGGCGTCTTTAGACTTCCAGGCATGAGGTCCTGGTGCTGGGAAGTCTTAAAGGACTATAGCAAGGATCTAGAGTCTGTAGGTGGTTGGAGAAACACAGCACAATAGGAATTGCATGGAGGCTCTCATGTGTGACTTCCTGATGATATGGAGCTTAGAATAGTTCCAAGAGAGAATTAGCATCTCAAGAGAGTCCCAAAAGGAAGGAATTCCAAGAAATGTCAGTATAATGTGAGCAGGACTGTTATACATAGGCTCTATTTGCTCCAAAGAATATCCTAAGTTCCCTGGTTGCTTAGGGTCAATACAGCAGAAGACTACTGACATCTTGAGTCTACTGAAGCTCCTGCTCCGACCATCACATGGTCTCTTAAAGCTATTGCCAATAGTGAAAAGAGCATGTATTGAGCTCCTGGTTCTTATGCCTATTCTATGACCTATAGATAATTTCAGCAAGTAGATTTGGCCCGATATGGATTGTTTCTATTTTAAGTTAAATACAGCTATTTTATATTGAGTTTATCCAGTGGCTGAAAGATTACATGGAATTAAGAGTTTGTGGGATATTTTGACTCAAATAAAGCTATCTAGTACAAGAAATTAAATTAGCCTTAAGAATTCTTAGTTATATTACTAAGGATTACATGGCTAAGATCAGAAGTACAGTATGCCCTCTTTTCCATTTATCCATTTCTTCTGTTTTCTATTGATTTAAAGTAAATCTATAACCCTGGGTTTTATGGAAATTATACTAGTATAAGGTAATTGACAAGATCATGAATATTTGAATAGTCACACAATAATATCCTGTGGAAGTTTCAAATCCAGTTTGCTTTAATGCTGGTTAAGAAAGATGAATCTTGTGAGGCAGGTGGTGAAACCACTGAGCTAAATCCCCAGCACCTCACCTCAGAAAGAATGGCTGCTATCATGAAATCAACCAATAACAAATCCTGGCGGGGCTGTGGGGAAAGAAGAACCCTGCTCCACTGCTGGTGGGAGTGCAGAGTGGTGCAACACTGTACGGAGATACCTCAAAGAACTAGGATTGGAAGCCCCATTTGACCCAGCTATTCCCCTGCTAGGTATCTTCCTCAAAGAATTAAAAGAATCATACCACAGAGATACATGTGCACCTATGTTCATAGCAGCACAATTAGTGATAGCTAAAACTTGGAAGCAGCCCAATTGCCCATCAACTGGAGACTGGATAAAGAAAATGTGGGGTTTTTAAAAAATAAAATGGAGTATTATTCAGCCATAAAAAAGGGAAACTAGAGACATTTATAACTAAATGGATGCACATTGAGGTGACACTCTGAAGTGAAATAAATAGGACACATGTGTGTAAATACCAAATAGTTTCTCTAGTGTGAAAAACTGAAAGTGTAAATAAGGACTAAAAGGTATAATAGATAATGTGAAATAGGAAGAAAATGTGCAAAGGGGAAGGGGAAGTGGGGGGGGGGAGTAGGGAAAAAGAAAGAAGGGAATGGAATTAATATGAGAAAAAGAAAAAATGGAAACAAAGTCATTGTAGATAGGGAGGGGTGGAGAGGTTGAAGGGAGGGAAGAGGAATGGGGAAAAAATAAGAACCAAGAGAGATTACATAAAGGTGCAAATTTCCAATGATGAACGTCATTATATTGAACACCTTAAATGCACCAATAAAATTAATTAAAAAAAAGAAAGATTAATCTTAAACTGCACCCCTGTTAGAATGGCTATTTTACATATGTGTGTTTATACCAGAGAACATGATATTTGAAATATCTATACAATGTGGAATGGCCACTTTGGAGTCATTAACATATGTATTACTGACAGAACACACCGAATCAGCCCACTGCAGACAGGCAGGTCTGCCCATGCCCTACCAAGGTCCTGAGTCGCACAGAACACACTGAATCAGCCTACTGCACACAGGAAGGTCTGTGCACGCCCTACCGAGGTCCTGAGTTGCTCAGAAGACACTGAATCACCCCGCTGCAGACAGGCAGCCACCTG